ATCTATATGCTGGTGGTTGTGTGTGAACTTAAGCAGCACCACCGTTTTCTCCTTTCCCTCGTCCACAGTTCTTGCCATTTTCAATTTCGCTGACGAGGGAGTTTTCCAGTGTATCGATTCTCGTTGTTTACAGACTGTACGGGAAAGTCTCGTCACATGTCATGATCTTTTCCAGCGAGTCAAGCCCCGCTGCGAGCAACTGCCTTATCAAGTCGGTGCAAGTGTTTCCTTGCGTCTTTCTGCACCTGACTGAGGTTTTTGAGCACCATTTTGGCAGACTTTGCTATATTCAGTTGGTCGCATTAAATTTGTCGTAGTCTTTTTACCATTGTGCACCATGTCTTCCATCAACCACATAATTAATGCAGATTGCTGCCATTAATTTTACTAATGTCTGCAACATTTCATTTAGTGACGAGTGGAAATACGGCTGGAAAGAGATTTGCATCAATTTAATGGAGAAACTCTCAGCAGAACCTGACTCATTGGAAAAGATGACGACTTCATGGAGCGCCTGGTGGCAGAACCTGACTCGCTGGAAAAGATCACGACGTATGAGACCTGGTGGCCATTGAACCCTCTGGGTTCTGGAGCACTAACTTGTGCTCCATATGCTCCGAGTTGTGGTGCGCTACCCTACAGCAGCACAGGGCAGCAGAAACTGCACCCCGCTGTCCCTTTCGCTGGAAAATGCTGCCTTTGCATGGCCATCTTTCCACAAAAGTTCTCCTACTGACCCATTGTTACAACAAAGTACCAAAAAGAGGGGGGGAAAATGAAGAATATCCCTACATTGTACGCTCAATTCTCATAAAAGCCCGACATAATTGTTGGCAATGGCCAGTTATAAAAAATCTCGGATTACGGTACTCAATCTATTTGCAGCCCATGTCTAACTTCTCTGTGCACACATCTGCAAATCTGTGCACACATTAGGAAATCTGTGCACAGATTTGCCAAAGAGGAACTTTCGACTTGCTTCACGCACCAGTGATGCTGATACACTCCATATCAGCGTTGTTTCACCAGTGCGCATCAGACAAGCCCGAAGTTTTTCTTTCGCAGTATATTTGGAGGCTCTGGATTGGCGTGCGATGAAGAGCCCGACGGCTCTCCTGAAAAATTAATCGGCTCGCATGGTTTCACTATTAATGGTACGTACATAGCAGGAGGGGAACCGCCCTCCTTAAGCCCCCCCCAAGGTCAACTTTTATTTTAATGAAGAAATGAATATACACTAGTTAAAAGTTTAGTTTTTGGTGACATATTGGTTCGAAGGAAGAGATCTGGGCAACGTCTCGGCTGTAAAGTCACATCTCGGCAGACTCCCCGCAAGGTGAATGCCTACCTTTTACCCCCCCCCATATGTGCCCCTGGTATGTACTAGACAAAAAGAAATACAATAAGAATTTTAGGGCTAACTTTTCAACAGCATGCCAAACTTGAACAAATTTGGAAAACTAGTTGTCTTCCACGAACACAGAGTAAGTGAGCAAACGAGCTGGTGTAAATTGGACGCACAAAGAATCCCGAGACTGAGGTAAAATCAGGGACAGCACAAACACGTTGGTGATGTCCCTTATTTTATCCTCTCCCCTGACTTATTTATGGAAGCACTAAAACGCCTTTCAGAATGTTTCTTGGGACATGCGGTACCAGCCCCCCGGCCATCTTGACCAAGGGCCCCAACTGTGTGCCTCACTGGCTCGCAGTGGGCCCCCTCTTCTGTACAAACCATTGATCAAAGGACGCCCAGTCTCCATAGAGGTCGAGCGTGTTGGTTTCTCATTCACCATAAGAAAAGAGGGACATTGCCTGTGTCTTCAGTGTCCCTCTTTCCTGTCATAAACTCCTCATACACTAGGGCCGAAAACCCACCGCCTTTCCAGTCATTTTGAAACATTACCAGATGTTTCTTAGTAATCGCCTTCTAAAGGGCCTCGGACACTCCCAAAATAATGACTTGTGCAATATCGCCCAATAGATCTCCGGAAAACGATAAAAAAAAAAAATCAAGATCAGCGCGGAGAAGTGCAACGTCAGCGCAGTCCCATAGGTTATTTAACTCCTCGCGTGTTTCTGTAAATTAGTCTGTTTTCTGTGGTCCTAAAATACAAGCTCCAGAGATTCTATATCCCATTTCACATTAAAAGGAACAACCCTGGCCAAAAATGAAACCAAAATAAATGACTGGTGTCGCTTTAGTGTCACGAAACATGATCACAGCCGAAATATTAAGTCAAAGTGAAGCCGCATACTCCGCTAAAACGGAGTTTAAAGGGGCCCTGCAATCATATTTAAGCGTCTACCTTTTATGCGGTTTCCACGTCTCTTGGGGTTCGGGCAAGCCAGCGGGCACGGAAAGAGTAGCTAAATATCAGTGCGCCATATTTTAACCGGACGACACGGAAACCTCCTCCACCGACGAGGGCGACCCGCGGTACCGAAAGCGCGCAAAACGTGACGTCTTTGGTCTTGGGCTTACTACTGGTCAGAGCCAATAAAAACTTCTTTTTGGTCGAAATACAAAATATAAGTGGCGCGAACCGTTTCAATTATTTATAAAAGTAGTTTTTGTTCACTATTATAGATGAAAAAAAGAAAGAAATGCAGTTTATAAGGTACGGAAACAAGAAATGACCCGTCAACATACCCGCCGCCAAGCGGTGGAAAAGGCGGCGCATACTAGAAAGGAGTAGTGGGATAAGGCGCCGACACGGAAAAATCCCGGATGCACGCGGTGGCGCTGCAGTCGTCTGGACAGGAGGATCCGACCGGCTCCGAGCGTTCCGAAGGCCGTCGGCGAGAGGCTTTGTCTTGCGGTTTGGCCGTTTCGCGGTATGGCAGCGCGAAGTGGCTCCCATTCTGAACTGATCTTTATCCCGTGTTTGCTGTCGTTTGTGGCCAATGAAGTGTCATGCCGAATTAGTGTTTAATTGCGCAGCAAACGCAATGAAAGCCGCTTTGGCTGCCCGCTGCGTACAGCCTATCCAGAACATGCTTTAGTGGCGCCCTCTGGCGCCGTCGACACGGAGTGCGGCGGCCGTGAGCGCTCGATGAGCTCACTATTCCTCCTCTAGTTCACGGCCACTCAAGCCAGGACCTACGACGTCATGAAGGAGGTTATTTTTTGCTTGTTTTTGTAATTCTAAATTGCCTATAACTTTTAAAATAAAGCGAATTTCGCGAAAAGAAAAGTTTCACTAAGTTACTACGTTCAGTGCGCTCAGGTTCGGTGCAAATTAATAAACAGTAAAAAGTCCTTGAAGGGCCCCTTTAAAGATGCGACCAGCTGCTTTTTAGCGGGCAGCAAGCAGGTCAGCTTTTAGTCGAGGAACACTGGTGCAGCACCCTTGCGACTTCAAGTCGCAGTGGAGCTGTAGTTGATTGGTTGTACCGCAGCACCACAATGATGTCACATCGCAGCTGGATGGATGGATGCTAATGGCTGTACCCTTCAGAACTGCCAGTAGCTTGCACCACGCCACCTTGCCTAGAAACTAAGAACCTAACGTATCATTTCTTTCCTTCGCCAATTTGCTAACCCTCTGCAATTCCGTAACTATCACCAGGCGGTGTGGGATATCACCAGGATGACCTCTGGGGAATCGGGCAAAAAAAGTAAAAACATCAGCCGTACGGCTGATGATCAGCGTTGCCATCCCTCTAGCAGATAGTTTCGGTTTGGCCATAGACGCCCGAAACCAAGCTTTGAGCCGTGATATTTATAAAACTACAGACAATATCAAAAATAAAAAATTATACCTTGTAATTGAGGGACACCTACTTTAGCTGTAAACAGTCGTAATCCCAAATAAAAAAATAATGACTGCCCTTTAAGGGGGGACACTACCCACAAAAGTGAATGTTTGAACCACTTGTCTGATTTAAATGACATTTACAGGGCTTGTTGATGTTGACATTGAGAACATTTCTGCCAAATTTAGTTAACCCGGTTGAAGTAAAAAAGAAAATTGCAAATGTTAAAAGATGAAAGTGGGTGTGTCTGTGGGAAAACTATCGTTTTGAAATTATTGTAAACGACTTATTTTTCGCGGGCTCAATATTTCGCGATTTAGGTCAAAGCTGAAGTTTCGGATTAATTTGCAGGTTCTAATTTTCGCAACGCGATGGGATCTCAATATAGATTCCAATGTGTTTACATTTGACCGGAATTGTTTGCGGGACCGATTTTCTGTGAATTGTAGGCGATTCGCAAATCACCAAGAAATTAAGTCGTTTACAGTACTTATAAATTTGCGAATCACAAAAATTAAGCTGTTTACAGTATGTATAAATTTGTTGTTTTCATGTGTTATATTGCTCTAGGACAGTTCAGAGCAGATAACTATGGAGCTATATTTTTATATTATACGGTCTTTTATGACAAAAAAAAAACAAAAAAAAAAAACACATAAACACGTTTTTTTAGATTTCCATTCTTTGTCCAAAATTTTAGTTCTTGAGCATGAAAAATGACAAAAATAAAATATACAAGCTTCATAGCTATCTTCTCCTTAAAATTTTACCCCAGAAAAACTCATAAAAATGAATCCAAGTTACGTAATAACAAAAGGCTAAGTGAAATTTATGCCAAAAGGTGGAATGGAGAAGGATGCCTTTGAAGTGCTGCAACTCCTACCTTTTCTTTAGCATTGGTGGACAAAAATAAATTATAAAAAATTAACTATGCAGTGTAAACCAATAAAACTTTCTGGGAATACTCTCTAGATGATGGTGGATGTAAATATGGCATTTTTCAAAATGAGCATTTTTTGCAGATATTGTTTTTTTCTTAAGTGCGACCGAACATCTGATGGTGGCAATCAATCAGCACCAAGAGTATCCTCATGGCACTTGTTGCTTTTCACCAGGCAAAGCAAATAAAAAAGTATCATTCAACAATTGGTTCAGCCAAAGAGAGCACAAAGACAAGGAGCGCCATGACAAAGCACTTTTGGCACTGCTTGATCGCTTTCATCGGATTGTAAAGTGAAACATCCTTTTTGTGTATTTTTATTTAATCACTGGGAAGAGTTGGGGAAGCCCCGACGGCTTTAAGTTCCATCTGGAGTGGCAAATATTTTCTTTTTGGTTGTTGGGTCCTTCTGGTCATACTTTCGTAAAAGAAAGAAAAAGAAGACATGCATAAATTAGGAGTGTGCAAAAAGTGGTTTGAATGGGATAGCTGGAACAGTGGACAAAACCAGTTACTTTCTTTGGACTGTGAAGGCTATGAATGAAGCGGCGCTATTCGATTGGAACCACTATTCGCACATCCCCAGCATAAATGCCTCAATGCCCTTTAAAACTTCCCAAGAAAAAAAAATGAATGCGCCTCTCTCCTCGAATTATAACCTAAACTTAGAGCTATAAAGGCCTTAGAAGGGTCTGTTGTAGATGGTTCTTTGTGTGCACGCTTGTCTACACCACCGTACCAAAATATAAAAATATAAAACAGATGCCGCAGCCATATATTGCATCTCCTAGTATTGCCCCTCAATAAATATAGTATATTAGTCTGGACAGATAGCTAGTCATAAATATAACTTGGAAAAGTACCCTGGCAAGAGTGCTCATACACATTTACAAACATTTACAAGCTCCAAAAATGCCTCGGTTAAGCAGTTCTGGATCATCAAGGACTCTGCAGGGGTAATAGAGGGATGTAAAGATGAACCTACAAAGAGCCTCCAGTGAAATTTGCTGAATCACATTTTCCCAACACACCTTAAGGCTCGTGCAACACAATCAGATGCAGAGAACTGCAAGTTATGGAAGACTCGTGGGAAGTACATAGATCCATAATGTGAAGTGAGAAATCTTTTCCGGGGGATGCATCGCACTCAAAGTGCCGGGCATATTCCAGGCCTCGGTTTGGGGCCAACTACACTCGGGCACCGGTCGGACAGTACAAATCACGCATCATGATAAACGTATAAACACACCAATCCCCCGCAACTTTTGCACCTGAACATGAGGATAAATGATCTGGCCCAATTGACTTTCTATAAGAGATGGCACAGCATACTGACAAATGGCTTAGCTTGCCACCCATATCCTCGATAATACTCTCCATAGAAAAGCAACAATCTTAAACATCTGGGACGGAAGGAAACCTCTGCAGATGACCCGACTCTCTGAAGGGGGATTTGTGACAGCTGGACGGCACCGGTATCTTGTTGCTTCTGGTTAGAGGTCCCTCGTTTTCGAAGGCACATAGGAAAACTAGACTTTGTTTCGGGTGTTGACACAGCTTAAGGTTCAAACTGCATCAATTTTAGGGCCTATGAATACTTTTACAGCGAATCGAACGCAATCAATCACTGTGTGAAGAAAACAGCATCTCAAAATGTACACTCGACTGGGAAGCAAAGTGGTCTAAGGCCGGAGCCTAGGACAGCAGCGAGGGGGCCGACACCGAGAGATTTCGGCTCACAGAGTCCGACAGCCCTCGGAGCGAAGGACCCGGTCAGCTGGAGTTGTGGGCGTCGAGCCTGCTGGCGTCCTGCGGTCTGGCCTCGTGAGTGCGCCCTGCGGCCAGCACCTGGAGCGAGCAGGAGATGAGGTGCATCTGGTAGAGGACCTGCTGGTGGAAGGCCTCGGTGGCCTGTGCCTGGCGCCGGTTCTCGGCCACCAGCTGACCGAGGAGGCGCACCACCCGCTGCTGTGCCCGCACGCCCGTCCCGACCGGCCGGCCGTTGGCATCACCGTGGCTGGGCGAGAACCGCCGAGGCCGCTGCGGGTGCAGTACGGGGCGTGGCTCGCTGTCTTCTTCCGCCTGGACGGGCGAGCGCAATTCTGGGCCCACAGGCGGTGCAGGCTGTGGCACGTTCTCGTCTGCAAGGTCCAGCACCTCTTCTTACACATGTATGGTCCATGCATGGCCTTCCTTCATCAACTCCTTCCAGGGTGCTACTCTTTCACACCCCCAGCAAGGTTACTCCCCATAAGGGCTTACTCCCAGCCCACAAAGGGGGCTAATTATTGCTGTCTGACCCCCAAAAAATGGCAGTTCAATAATGCCTGCCGTCCAGTACTGGGGAAGCGCCTACCCCACTTACACTGAAAACTGGGCTGACATGGGCATTTGTCCGATTCAACCAGTAGAAACCAAGATGGTGGCCAATAAAGAGCTTTGAAGCAGTCTTGGGCAGTTATATTATTTTTTACCACGTTTACACTGCTGACTCGTAAGGGTGGTGAGGCCCGTCAAGCAGCGGATGACACTGCTTTTTTCCCCCCTTCTCAGTCTCTGTTTTGAAGCTGAAATAAACGCCGATTCATTGATAGTAACGCGTTACCGGTAACTAGTTACTTTTTTTCGGCAACTTTTACCTGGAACACATTACTCTTTAATACTGGTAACTTGTAACTGTAACACTGTTACTTTTTTATTGGGTAACTAACATTTTAGGCAGTTAGTTACTTTTTTTTACTAAATTAATTAGAACCCACTGCCGCAGACATGGTGAAATCGCCATTTTGAAGTATTTTTCTCAAAACTCTTCGCTGACAAAAAAAAAAAAAAAGAAGCGTGGCCACGCATTAACCAAACAAAAATTGCCTGGTTCAGCCCATGACCGACAATGAACGACGGACGAGTCAGCACAAAACCGGGAGATAAAAATAGCAGGTGCCTAAGGCCGGCAAGGAATCTGTCTGTTTCACCGACTTTGGCTCGCTCTTTTCTCCTGGGGAGCATCTGTGGGCGTCGGTGGTCATGCGACACGTCTCCGAGTATTCCGTCTGGGTGTCTTTGTCTGCACCGCTTCCCCTCCCACGTCTCTCTTCCCCTTTGTCGCATATGTTTGTGCTGTCGTTTGTACACCCAGCTGGTCGTTGTTTCCTCTTCCCTATTAGTTTTCAAAGAAGCCGTCCCCATTTTTACAGAAAGCCGGCGCTTGTTTAACTTGTTCATTCTCTTCGGAGCCAATCGAGTAAACACGAAGGCAGGCTGGAGTGTAATTACCTTTTTCGTCCGTAGCCTCAAGAAACACCTCAATGGACGGAAACTCTGTTGGGGAACCTATGCAGTGCTCCAGTTAAAACGATTTCCCAGAAAATGTCTTAAGTGAGAGAAACAGTTGTACTTAAAGCTTGCGGACACAGACGCCGTGGTGGTCGTCGTACACTCGTAGAGCACCAGAAGGCCTCCCTCCTTTCTCCCTATATTCTTTCGAAGCTGTTTGACCTGATATGTTTAGGCCTGCTTGCGAGTATATCCCATAAGGTAATTATGCGACCATCTGTGTCCTCATTCCTTTCGGAGTGAAAAATAAACTAAAACATTCACCAACGCGGGCCGATGACAATTTTGAAAAACAGTTCATTCTAAGTTGTAACAATTATTGCAAATAAATTATGTACATCAAAATGCTGAAACGGCGAATGACGCAAAAAGAGAAACACCCTTTGGGTTTAGATTTTTCTAATTTCTCAGTTTACCTCTCTTCTCGCTATAGCGTAACAAATAAAATAATATTGTTTTGGCTAGTGATTTCTTGTGTTCAATTTTTGTAGTGTAACGAGAAAGTAACGGTGTTACAGTTTTTGCAGTAACTGTAACACTGTTACTTTTTACTGGTAACATGCCCATGACTGCTTTGAAGGCAGGGTGAATGGAATTGAAGAAAGCACATTTATTTTCACACAATCTTCCTGCCACTGGCAGTCTTGGGGCCGGAGCAGTGCACTGAATATTGTTGTCCGATGCGAGCACTTTGAGAGGGGTGGGCACTTAACGTATAATTTCCAGAATTCCCAAGTTTGGGAAATGGGAATAGTGGGCGTACCCGCAGTATTTTACGGTACAACTGTCACCCTAGACTACAGCACGAGTATCATATTAGATGAAAGCAAGGGAACAACAGAAAGTTGGAGCAAACATAAGCTGGTGAACATTAAACATAACACAAACCCCGAGACCACACATACCCTGAAAAAAATTTCTGGCTACGCCACTGACTACATACACCAAAAGTTTCAAAGGAACACGTTTCCTGCTTCAATTTTATTCCGATATGCCGAAGAGACATCTGGCCGCTACCAATTGTCATAATTAATTTCCTAGCTTGCTGCACAAATGGCCTGAACACAGGTAATGGAACTTGGGGGGGGGGGGGGGGGGGGGGGGGGGAGCAAAGTTTCGGTGTTTCATCGGTGGAAAGCAAGCACCTCTCTGCTTTGCCTGACACACGTTTTTGTGCAAATAAATCCCTTATTACCAAGGTGGGAAAATAGACAGGACCGAGGCAGCGAGGGTGGCGAGCGGTTCCTTACCCGGGGAGGCGTCGCGCGCATCGGGCGAGCCGACCTCGGTCTTGACCAGTACCACGGGGTAGCAGGCTTCGTGGTCAGGAGACGAGCCCTGCTGGTGTGGAGCACCGTTGGTGGTGGCGGCGAGCGGCGGCGAGGCCCCCCGCTTGGCCAGGATGGCGCCGACGCGGTCGGTGAACTCGCCGTGCCTATTCTCGCGGAAGTCGCGCTTGAGGCGCTTCAGCCTCTCGCGCACCTGCATGGGACTCCGCGTGTAGCCGTGGGCCCCGAGGAAGCCCGAGATGGCCTGGTGCACCTTCTGGTACTTGGGCGTGTTGCGCGGCGGAAACTCGACGCTGCGCTCGTCCGACAGCCGCTCCTTCTCGTACAGGTCGAGCAGCAGCATGGTCTCCTCGCGGGTCCACGAGCAGCCGCGGCCCAGGCGGCCCCGGTAAGCGCCGTACTCGTCGCACGCAGACAGCTGCAGGGCGCAGGTGGTGAAGTTGAGCGCCATGGCGCCGGGCTAGCGGGCAAACGGGGTCAGCGCGGTCCGGCCGTCGCACCGCGTACCCCTGGACTCCGGGGGCGGCCCCGCTGGGACGTCCATGGATTCCGGGGCCGACGGACGGGATCGCCGAGCGCCGGGCCCCCAACGCCGACGGATCGCCACTGTTTACAGGTGACTGCCGGACGTTCACCCCCTCAGCCTGACTCACAGGTTATTGTACGTGCGAGTCACGTGACGCCGCCCTTTATTTTTCCTCCTCCGTGCACCGCTGGTTGCGCAAGGTCGACTCCGCCGGCTCCGCTGGGCACAGCGCTGGGGGCCGCCATCTTGCTTCGGCTCTAGGGAAACGGGGAAGGGCGGACAACTCCAAACCCTCCAAACTTCAAGACCGCTCCGACGTGGGTCAACACCACCTAGAGTCAAGGCCGAAGCGCCTCGGGGCATGACGTCACCAACTTCAGAAGGCAATCCTGGAGGTTGGGCTTCTCCTTAGGCCTCTCCCTCTCCTTGGGTTTTTAGTTTTCCACTTTTCTGCCGTAGTAGCCGTATTTAAAATGTTGCTAAATCTAATTTTTAATTCACCCGTTTCTAAAATTTAGCATTTGTATAATAAAAATCGTGCTATATTTTTATTTTATGTCTGAGGTTGGGAAACAAAAAAAACGAAACTACCGCCTTGACCCAGAGGCCGACTCTCGGTTGCCGCCATTGGGCTCGAAAGTTGACATCGAGTGGGTGTTGACTTGGCGTATTCAATCGTTCCTTTCTCGGCGCCCTTTCGTGTGTTTCTGAGTGTCGAGGAAGAACGTCGAGACGCTGCAGAAGAGGGGGATATGCAGAAAAGTCACCGGCGAGCTCAAACACGACGACGACGTCTTCGGTTACGGGACGGGCTGCCGGCTTCCGAAAGTGCTTTTCGTCGTGCAGCGTTGTAGCTTGCTTTTTCTGTGTTTTTTTTTTTTTTTTTTTTCTCTCTCTTTTACGATTTTCGTGTTTTGTTTCGGCTGTGGCTCGAGAGTCTGCACGAAGTCTCACGAGTGATGTCGGGAGGCATCAATCGGCCGTTGTCTGAGGTGGTAGTATCCAAATTTACTTACGGGCTTGGCTGCTTGGGTACCTGTAAAGAGGTAAGAACTCTGTCATTTTCTCTTGTCGTATGGGACGCTATGCGAAAAACGTCACGCGCCCGTGTCTCTTTATCTTCGACCAAGTACAGCCCAACGTTTCGATTTTTTTTTCCTCTCCCTTTTAACCTAACGTTTGGAGCTTTAGCCAACCGGACAAATCATAATAGGGAGTTTTCGTAGATCGTTTTCGCCGTCCCGCAATGCCCTCCGCAACCCGCTACGATAGCGGGAACTCCACAGTCAAGGCTATCGGCGCGCAGGCGCAGTAGCAACTTGTTCGTTGCGGAGAGCTTAGCGGAGGGGGAAACGCGGTTTACGAAAACTCCCTAATGTTTACGTTCCCATAGCGGAGCGGGAGCGTTCAGACCTCAGGCGAGTGCCGTTCTGGTGCTCCTACCAAGCAAATGCCGTCCTTCAGTGAAGAATATCTCGCATTTCGCACTATGTGGCCGAACTTTAGGGCCATTCCTTTTTAATTTGTACATAAATGATATAATTAACGTCAATAAGGAGGCAAAATTTGTAATGTATGCTGATGATGCAAGCATATTCTTTTCCTCCGAAAACGCTGATGACCTAATCGATATGGCTAACTTAACTCTGTCTAGAATTAAATCTTGGGGTGATAGTAACTCGTTGATAGTAAATAGTAGCAAAACAAAAGCTGTTATTTTTCGTCCAAAAAATAAACATGTGGTGGTGTCTAAGCATCTCCGTTTTAATTCGTCTCTAATTGAAATAGTCAATTGTTTTAAAACTCTCGGAGTATTTTTTAGTGAAAATATGTCCTGGGATAGCCATATAAATTATATTATTCCAAAACTAGCTCGCGTGGTAGGGATTGTAAATCGCTACCGTTACATATTGCCAACAAATGTGAAACTCTTGATCTATAATTCCTTGTTTTACTCCCACTTAGCCTACTGCTACCTCGTTTGGGGTACATCAACGTTAACTAATATTGAAAAACTGTTCATACTACAAAAGAAAATACTCAGAGGTATAGGTAATGTGCCTTTTGATTTTCACACTGCCGAATTATTTAGAACCTATAGGATAATTGATGTTCATAAATTGTATTCATATCGACTTTGTACCAGTTTTAAGAGTGAAAGATTAAAGGGCACATGTTTCCTAGAAAATCTTGCATTATTAGAGGAAAATTCACCAGTGTATTCTACTCGTCATGCGGAGAAGTGGAGGATGGTCACCCAGCGAACGAACTATGGCTCTCAGATGCTCCAATTTACTCTTCCAAATTTGTTAAATACTTTTTGCAGTAGTAATGTTTCTCTTGAAAACTTGACTTTCAAAGACTTGCGTGAATATTTTTGTACATAATGCATTCCTTTCATAAAGCGTTATATGTTTTGTTTTTCTGTTAACAATACCTGCAGCTGCTAGTTGACGTGATTTTCATCTTTGTTTCCTGATGCTTGCCGCTGACCACTGTAAGGGGACCGAGGACCAGTCAAGCTGCATATCGCAGCTTTTTTCCTCGGGCTCCCCCATCAAAATTGATGGAAATAAAGATATTATTATTATTAAATTTGCTCGCAATGCTTACATGTGAGAGTTGTTCCGCGGCGCCCGATCGCTTCCCGTGCAACAATATTTGTTTACTAGACCATCTGCTATTTCTAAACTACTCTATATATCATAAAACATGTTTGTATCAATAAAAACTTGTTTTTACGGCGGCATATTCACGCACGTTGCCTTCATATCAGCGCTAGAGGCGCCCCGCCCGACTCATTCGCCTCCGTCGGTGATAGACCTGTGCGCCGCCGCGCCGCGCCGCCGCCGCCGCCTGTTTTGCTCTCGCCGCCCTGCGCCGCCGCCGGACTCCCCAGAGCCAGCACGCCGCCGCCGCCGCCGAGCAAAAAATCCGGCGCGCCGCCGGCGCCGCCGGATTTTTTTTTTTTTTTTTTTAGGGGGGGGGGGGGGGGGGGGTGTGGAGGGGTGCGTAGCATTGGTGTTTCTTTTTTTCTGCTTCTGTAACAGTCTCACCTACTATATTATGCATAAAAAAAATGAATAAATACACCGGTGTCTGTGTGTTTTTTCCCTTTCATTTTTACTCCTTTACGCGGAACGATAAAAGAAATGGACAAAACAACAAGTCTCGAACACAGTTGCTAGTTTATTTAAACAACGAACGCTCTTATATGTAGCTCAAGACCCTCACCTCCAAAAAAGAAACACCTCCTCTTCACTAGGTCACCGAGAACCGGACACTCACAGAACCCATATGGTTCATGATTCAGACAGATCCAAATGATTCACACCAACCAGCTACCCTGATGACCTCGCTTGGGGGCTGACCAGCCACATGCGATAACAGGCAACTCCAGCTCCAGCAGAGCCCTTACAATTTTTGGAAAACCCACAAAACAAGAGACACAAAATACGCTTCATATCACCGTCCAATGCCAAGGACAATGTGCTTATACAATTACCAGAGGTCGAAATACGCATGGTCTCCCTTAGAACTCTCCTACCATTGCTGATTGTTGGGCGAGTTGGTATTGTACGTGAGAAAACATTATTGCGCTTTAAGACATAGTCAGAGGAAGAACACCACAGAGCGCTTACTTTCAACTGATTTAATCCAAGAGCCTCACTGTAGATACACACTGCGTCACCGCACCACATCTCAACCAATCCGTGGCCCCGCCGTAGGCCGCAAATACACTGTCTCTTTTTATGCCAAGTCAATTGAAGCCACGCATGACTGCGTGTGCAAACCATTATTTGCTTCTTCCAGTGTTCTCGCTAGGCACTTAGGCGGACGCCATCAATAGTTCCGGCACGTGTTGTAACGTGTTTTTTGTGGCACCCCTGAGGACCACCCGAAAAGGAGGTTAACCTTTCTAATTTGTGCTGAGCTTTGGAAACTAAATTTACACCGAACCTCTCTGCCACTGATATAAAGTTAAGAGAGCTAGGTTCCAAGGTATAGTAAGGCACACACACACCATTCTTTACAACCGGTTTTTCCACAGGAGCCGGATTAAACGTTCCTAACACCTTGAGCACAACTCTAACAATCACATATCCTCGTGTAATTGTTAGAATAGTTGTGAACCAAAATGGAGCTTGGCAGAAGGTGTTGTCGATTTTTATCCAGAGATGCCTGATAGGAGCGGAGCAACAGTCCATTGTCACTCAAAAACTCTGAGCAATTGATTGAAATATTGAATCCGTATCATGGGAGAAGGTGTGATGGGACACCTGTAGACATCTAGGCCATTACTCTATGGATAAGTCGGAGCTGTTAATAAGGGTCAGGAGGTGGTGTGATGATAATCTAGTAAAGTTGCAGTCTGCCTCTGGGATTGATATAGATAGTTTTATGAGCATTATAGAGTTTTATTTAGAGTCCACTGCCGTAGACTTTGATGGTTCTCTTTTTATTCACAAAGAGGGAGTGTGCATCGGGTCGTGAATTGCTCCAATGTTGTCCGAGATTTTTTAAAACGAGATTGATGTTCACGTTGACACGGTTGTGCGGTCCTTGTAGATTGGACCGCACAACCCTGCGGTTGCAACAGTCGAATTGAGTGCTTATAGGCCTCCTGTTTCACACGGAAAAGGACCTGTGCTGGAGGTGGGGCAAGGAATCAGCAAAGCCTCTGTTGGCAGCGTCTATGTTAGAAGTTGACAGCTGTCACTTAAAAATAGTTAAGAGTGGTGTAATTGCGTCTGCGAAAGATAACGCCTGTAAAAAATCTCGTATGCTTTAGGTTGGAGAGCCAGTTGAGTTGCAAAAGATGCGTCGTTTGGAAGCGGGCCACCACCACGATGTAATTGTTAGAGTCGTGCTCAAGGTGCTGAAAGTTTAATCCGGCTCCTGTGGAAAAAACGGTTGTGAAGAATGCTGTGTGTGTGCCTTACAACCATGGAATCTCTCATAACTTTATATCAGCGGCAAAGAGGTTCGGTGTAAATTTAGTTTTGAATGCTCAGCACAAATTAGAAAGGTTAACCCCCTTTCTGGTGGTCCTCAGGGCTGCCAGAAATAAACATAAGAACCCAGATGTAACTTTTCAGGCAGGAGTGGTGTACGGGACCCTCTCATTTCGTCGAAACTCGTTTCGTGGAATTACGTATCGTGGACAACTTTTCATGGGCAGACGTTTCCCGGAAACACGTTTTGTCGACACGATCGTTTCATCGACACTCGTTAAGCGAA